CCTGTTGTTACTTTGGTATAAGGTAATACAAAATTTTTTCCAAGTTTTTTCTGCTTTTCCAGGATAAACCTGGTAATGAACAAAGGATGTTTTCACCATTTTCTTGATGCTGTTGTCTGACGTCAGCACCTCGTTAATGATGTTTCCTGACTTTGCTCAATCAGGGCTTTTCTCAAGTATTTTGGTAAACAGATGAAAACTAAACTATTGTGGGGATTAAATCAGCTTCCTTTTATTAAACTCATTTACAGCAGAACAGGTGCACATCCTTGCAGTTTAAAATGAGAAGTTTGTGGGGTTTGCAATGTTCAGTCCTAATTTCAGTTGGTCTTTTTGGATTTGGATGAAATACAGACACCTTCCACCCTAATGTTGATGCTTATAAAACATCTGCTTATAAAAGCCAGAATTTTTGTTGCCTAATTCCGTTTGCTCAAAAATCTTGTGCATCCTTGTGGAGTTTTGCTGTGTTTTCCATGCCTTGCAGTGGAACTGGGCATTCTGGAGGGTGGTGGTGCCCAGTGTGCATGCTTGTGGATCTTTGATGTGTTTTCCATGCCTTGCAGTGAAACTGGGTGTCCTGGAGAATGGTGGTGCCCGGGAATGCCCCGCTCATCCAGCAGGACCCCGCTCTGGAGCCTGCCTTAGGGAGAGCCCCCCCAGAGCACTCGGCCATGGGCCCCGGCACGGAACCGCTGCCAGAGGAGGTGGGACCAGAGGTGCTGAAGTTGCAGGAGCTCATCAGGAGGCTGGAGCTGGACAATCAGCATGCCAGGACCAGGAGCAGCAGGAATATGCTAGGGACAAATGTGCCAGGGGACATCCATCCTGGGGTGGAAAACCACGAGCCCGGCCTGAGTGGGATGGAGATCAACAGCAGCATCAATACCATCACTGACAAGCAGGAATTGCAGCTCATGGCGGATCTGCACAGCCAGCTGAGCAAAATGARGCAAGAGGAAGGAGAGAACGACTGCCTAAAAAGGGCCCCCGATGCCCAAATACAGCACAGCTGCCACAGTGTCCCGGAGGAGGTGTCTCCCAGTGGGAAGCAGAGCCATGGGAGAGAAGGGTTTCTCTCACCTGTGGATACAAGTAACAGCTCGGAGCTGCTGGGGGGCCTGGTTATGGCAGGGATCCATGCCTCAGCTGGAATCCAGGAACAGAATCCCAGTGAAAAGTGTGCAGATCTAGAGAGCCTTCCCAGTAACTTATATCTGGATGAAGTCGAGGTGTTAGAACTGGACAGTGGCCCCGAAGARGACGATTGCTGGTAGGTATCCTCAGGCTTGGGGGCAGAGGGGCTTTCTGTGCCTAGGTGGGAATTACTTCATAGCTATAAAGTGATTTCTATACATGGTTTGGATTTGTAGCAACAGAATGCAGTTCTCATTAGTGACTGTTCTTATTTGTATGTCCATTGTGCCAGACCGTTATTTTTTAAAAAATAAATGTATGTGTAGGGCTTGTTTTTTCCCCTTCCTTCCAGCCACTGCTGCAGCAAACACAGGAGCTTCCTTTCCCTCTAAGTTCAGTTATATATAGCACGTGCAGATGAATGAATAATGGAGCTTTAAAACCTTCCACACAACGGTCAAATACCMTATTTAAATGAAAATTTTGTCAGTAAGAATCCCTAGACCATCTGGAATTTGTGGCTTTTGCTAGGACCTGAAGAGACAAACCATTCCCAGTTCCTGATAGCTGATTCTTTCTAGTTCCTGAAGRCTGTTTCTTTCCAGTTAAGCACCTCTTTTGTTCAGAGACATGAACTGAACCAGATCAATGATGTAATCCTTAAGTGACCCGACTCTCTGGGACTCTCCCCTCCACCACCAGCCTTGTTTAGAACTTGCTTTGTAAATCAGTAGATTAACAGCCTTTGGAAGGGCAAGGGAAATGTAAAGTTTGAGGCTTATTCCAGCTCCTGCAATAAMTAAGACTTGTCTCGGTTTGAAAGACAGGTGTTTTGCCAATAAAGGCAGAGACCCCCTCCTTTGGAGTGGTGGATATGACCCCCCCTTCCCTCTGACTTATTATAGCTTTGGAAAGGAACCACGGGCTTCCAAGCAAGAGTATGGGGGAAAGGGAATAACAGTTTTATTAATATGTATAACAAAGTGAAAATAAGTAATAACAACAAAAAACAGCAACCAGCCCAACCACCAACCCAGTGACAGCCTCACACAGAGATGCTCACCTGATTCCCCGGTGACTGCAGRAGYGCTGTGGCGCAGGTCCCGGCTGGCTCAGATCGAGGCAGAAGATCACAGTGCAGCAAAACAGGAACCAAAGAGCAGTCGAGCTCTGGTCCACAGGTAGCAGGCCAACTGCCCCTCTGAGCCAAGCAGGCAGTATATATAGTTACCCGCCACCACCACACCCACACCCACCCCCTCCCAGTACTTAGCAAGGTCGTTTGGGTGGGGTGTAGGTCGTTTGGGTGGGGTGTAGGTCCTATTGTCTTTACTAATCGCCCTGCCATCAAAAGGATGACCTGGCAATCAGCAACAAAAATGGGAAAGAAAAATTCCCACGAAAGGAAACAAAAGGAGATCCCCATAAACCACAACAGACTTGAGATTTTACCCAGAGTTGCTAATTTGTAAGACTTGGGAGGAAAAGCCTCAGGGCTCTGCAAATTGGGTTTCAAATTTGTGTAGCGAGATTAATCTGGCAGCAGGGACAGGGCTGCTGAACACAAACCAAACCTTCAGCTCCAAACATTCATTAGCTGTTAGAAGGGAAGGTAGAGTTTTTTTTTAATGGAGTGGGGCTCAATGAGGTCATGAATTCAGTTCCAGCCTAAATTTGAGGTTATATTTAAAATATGACTTTTTTTCTTTGCAAGTATACTTAAAAAAACCCAAATACTGGATCTAACTTGATCACTGGAATTCTCCAGCATGCCTAAACAGCAATTTGAGCTGGTTTCTTAGAAATTAATAAGGGAATATATTTAACAAGTTGAATATGGAAGACTGGCTTTATTATTTGTGTGTTAATGGAAGCAGCCAAGTTTGTATTCACGTTTATATAGCCTGTGACAGGAGAGATTGTTCAAACTCTGTTGTGTCTCAGAGCCTGGGATTTACCCAGGCAGGGGATGCTGTCCAGTACAGTCAGGAAAGATTCTGTTCTTTAACCTTTCCTTCAGCTAGTGGCTGGTAAGGTCGTTCTTTCCCAGGTACCCTTCATTCAGCACCTTGTAGGATCTTTGTGGGTTTGTTCCCTCTGCTTTCTTGCCAGATTTGGTTGGAGCAGGGTAACCTATGACAAAGAGGTCCCTGAGGAGCTGGATAAGGTTGGTGATCCAGAGCACTTGTGCAAGTGCTGTTACCATAAATTATCTTTGATTGTGCTGCATCATTTCCATCTGTTCCCTTTTCCTCTTGTCAAACAAACCTGCTGAAACAGGGAGCTGTTTTTAGTGGTGGCTTCTTGTCCTAGAGCTTTTTCTGAAAATGGGAAATAAATCCTGTGTACAATCAATAGTGCCTGCCTGTGCTTATTGCCTAGCATCCCAAATTCTCTGCATAAATACATCCCACATCCAGCCCATTCAGGTGGTTGTGCTTTCCCACAGCAAGAACGAAAAAACTGGAGGGGCGGGAGGGTATTTTAAAAAGAAAACAAACAAACAAACAAAAAAAAAAAACCCTACAAAGCCTCCTTAATTCTATGTGAATTTAGCATCAGCTCTAATAAGGTGGCTTTGCTGATGGGGGAATTTTGTCCTGCCTGATGAAGCTGAGGAAATCCAAAGTGAATAGCTGACTGTGTTGTGTATTTGCAATCCTTTTTAAAATATTGTGCATAGGAAAAGAACCTGTAGCTGATACTGATATATATCATGTATACTTAGATACTTCATGATTTCAATTCAGACATGAAATTCTCCTGTCCCTGAATTGATAATTCTCTCAGCCTAGTCCTTCTTGTAGGTGGGTTTTTTAATATCAGCTTTGGAGGTGATGCTTTATACCTGAAAGAATACTAAAAATTCATTTTGTATTCTTTTAAAGTGTGGGAGTGTTTAAAACAGGGTCTTGGAAATGGGGAACTTCCAAAAAGAGAAACTTTACCTCTTAGATCTTCCTGTCACAACTTTAAGGTAATTTTTGTTGTGTTGTTGTGCTTATGCTTCATGGCTTCTTAGTGGGTTGGAAGTTAAGTCCATGTGTGGATTTTTGCCATTTGAGCTGAGGTGGGAATAGCAAAAGCCATTTTCCCAGGAGATGGATGGAGTGGTCAGAAGGTTTGTTGCTGTTCTCTGCAGGTGCAGGTGGAGTCTCAATTCCTGTGCTATTTTGAAATAATTTGCTTTATTTAGAGGGAACTTGCAGAAGTTTGTRTGGCTTCTCCTGGTTCCAGCAGCCCTGAAGTTGTCTTTTGAAGCTGTGTTTGTAGTGACGGAGTTGTGTGAAACCCGAGGCAGTGCCCACTCACAGCAGCTGTAACTCTGCCCTGGGCTGCCTGGCCTCTGACTGCTCCCTGAGGTGCCTTTCTCAAATAGCTGCTCAAAATTGTAAATATCCTGGAGATCCAATCACGTGGAACTGGGCTCTGGCACTGAGGAGCGCAGTGATGCTCACCTTGGACTTCAGTGCAGGGCAGGTCCTGAGCTGTTTTGGTTAGGCTGATTCCCCCTTATCCAGGGAACAAACCTGATCTGCTGCTGACAGCATTACCTTGGTTGTCTTCCCCAGTCAAGTGAGGTGTTCCCCATGCATAGGAATTGAGTTGTGATTTTGTGTACTCACTTCATTGTTCTTGTGACAGTGATTTGTGTTCAGCCCTTTTGTTGTGCATTCCCATCTTTTGTGGGGTTTGGTTGTTCGATGTGTTGCCAATTCAGAAAATTAGAGAATCTCCTGAGCTAAAAGGGAATCACCAGGATTATCCAGCCCAGCTTTTGCCCTGAGAGCATTGACCAAACACTCCTGGAGCTCTGGCAGCCTTGGGGCCGTGCCCCAAGCACCCTCTGGGGGAAGAACCTTTCCCTGAGATCCATCCTGACCCCTGGCACAGCTCCAGCCATTCCCTGGGTTCTGTCCCTGCTCACAGAGAGCCAAGATTGGTGYAGTCCCTCATGAGGAGGCTTCAAACCCCAGTGGGGTCTGACCTCTGTGTCCCGTTCTTCAGGCTGAACACACCAAAGTGATGTTATTTTTCCTGGTGAGATTTGCAGTGATCATGGAATGATTCAAATTCCAACCSCATCTGAACTATAAAATTTTATAATTTATTTTTTGTTAAATGAAAGAAAGGTCAAGAAATAGCAAAAGTGAAAACCTGAATTTTTTTTCCCAGTACTCTTCCTCCTTTTTACTGGATTAGACTATTCTTGCTTGCATTCTCTCTGACGGGATGAGGAGCAAATCCTGTGTCCATTCCTCACCTTTCACAACTCCAGGTTTTCTCCTTGATGGAAGGAACGAGGCCCCATAGGTGTCTGCCCTATGTTGCCCCTGCTGCTTAAGATCCTGATCCCAGTGGTGAAACTTCAGATAAGCTTTTATGTATGTTCTTCTGCTTTTCAAAAAAAAAAAACTCCACAAAATACACTGTAAAAATCTTGTGAATCCATCAAACAGAACCTTTCTTTTACATTTCTTTTAAATTGCTGCGTCCCTTTTAGAAGAATATGTAAAATCCTAGGSGTGTCTTTGTGAATATACAGATCTGCTCAGCCAAAAGTGGGCCTGTTTTTCCATGGGATGAGGAGGAGAAAGAATCCCTGGCACTCAGGTGAATCCTTGTATTGCTGCTCTCATTCCCAAAAGTCTCAACTAAAACTGGGTCATGCTGTCTTCGCCTCAGCGTTGTGCTGTCTCCTTTCTGAATCCATGATCAGCACAGCAAGTGGGGTGCCCTTGAATTAGTGTTTGTAGGGGCAGGGAGTTTGATTGGCTCGAGGAAAGGACARTGTAGGAGTTTCCTGGGAATGTGTTTTCAGCCTTAGCCCTGTGTCCAGTGACCGTCTATATTGATGTTTACARCTTTTAATTCAATGTACTGGAGGATATCATTGCTGCTTGTGCCATCAGAGATAAGGAAAGACATTCTGGAGAAGTTGTACGGAGGATAGGATGCTRCACAAAATCCAGAAATTATACCAGTACAGCACTTCATGCTCTAATTTGAGGGAGAACTTTACTTCCCCACTATCTCTGTGTAATCCATTTATACCCTTCATAGGCTRTGTCATAGTTTCCCTGTGATCTCTCCCTGTGACAAGACTGCTGAGAAAATCTGCATGACTTACAAACA